TCATCTTCCTGGGTCTCAGTTTCATAGTAGCATAGATTTAGAACTGGAAGAAGCTTTAGAGCCAACCCTCTCTTTTTACAGACTGGGAATATGAGGTACAGGGAAATTAAATGACTTGTCCAAGGTCATCTAGCTAGTAAGTATCTAGGGCAGAAGTCTTCCTGATTTATAAGTCTAGTTCCCCATCCATCATGCTGCCTCTCAACTTTAAAAAGAAGGGGTTATGTTTGATGATGTCCAAGGTCCATTTCAGCCCTAAGTCCATGTTCCTATGAGGTTTGATCCTGTCTCATTTATCTGTTTGTTTGTCATGTTACCTCCATTTTATATCACAGCCTATGTCTTTCAATTCCCTTTCAATTCAATTCAATAACTTTCTATTATACTTATCTATTATAGAAATATAAAGATCACTTGGTATATGTCAACACACCATTAAATTTGTTATTTCACTGATATGGGCATTCCCTCCAATGATAGAGATCACAACCCATCCATTCCTACCCAACCTGTGTGACACTTGTCCATGCTGCCATCCCATCAGCTATAGGAGGTCTAGCCAACAAGTCAGAGACTTTTCTTTTTTTCTCCTGATATTTAATGATAACAATGGATCAAATGAGATATTATTGGTAAAGTGGTTCACAAAGTATATACAGATACAGATATAGATATGTTTGTATACATATACATATATATATATATATATACCTATATTAGCTATTCTTGTTGTTATTGTTATCATCACATGGTCTATCCATTAGCTATCCCTCTGTCTTGCCATAGGAACAACCCATTTTCCTTTATTTTTAACTACAATTCTTTGATTTTTCTATTACCCGGCTATACTACATAATTCCTTGTTTGTAATGCCTGCTATAGCCTACTCATGCCTACTTGTCCATTACCCTTTGAGTGATCATTGATTTCATTCCTTTAGCGACTGACATGTTCCAAGACTTCACAATTAAACACAGTTATTTAACAAATGGGCCTTCGTCTCAAGTTGATGCTTGGGATCATTAATGGAAGTCTGACCTTTACCAAATGCAATGTAGTCTACTCTCCTCCTCTTGAACAATTCTGAATTCAACACACTGTCTATTCACAGAGTCTATTGAAGATAAAAATTCTGATTGATGACCTATATGGATTGTCCATTTAACTATACAGCATTATTTGGACAATATGCATCCTTCATCCACTCAGTTTTTCCTGTGTGGATGGTACAACATTGACTTTTGAGTCATTATAGCTCTCATTTGGTAGTATTCCAGGGTTTGACAGAATCAGCACAATTATCACTTGCAAACTACAGCATCTACATCACTTCACCAACTATAGCAGGGGTTCTTGAATTTTTGTTTTTGTTTTTGTCACAGACCCATGAGGCAGTCTGCTAAAGCCTTGTCAGAATGATTTTTTAATGCATAAAATAAAATACATAAGACCACAAGGAAAGCCAATTATATTGCAGCATAGTTATCAAAATATTAAATAAAATACACAGATTGCAGCTGAAGAGCCTCTGATCAATAAAAACACCTCTTTAGCTAGGACCATTGAGTGGAATTCCTCCATGATAGTGGGAACCCCCCTCGCCAAATAAATGTCTCCCTGTTTGAGGCCTTGCTGGACACTAATAACTAGAGGGCTGTCAAAACAAGTCATATCTGTTGTGATAGCTTTCTAGACATGTTGCATTGCTTTAATATATGAGTGAGGTTTGGAGGGGAGGGGAAGCTTTGCTGAAGAAAAACTTTAAGATAGAGTTTGCTCTGTAGATTAAAATGTCCACCAAAAATAAACACAGGAGAATCTTCTAGTCAATTGTGTGATGATAAAGATGAACTCTCAATTGTGAAAACCTGTTTGTTCACTTTTAATACATCCATGCAGGCTGTTCTTGGTCTGTGTTGGGATTATTCTCATAAAAAATTTCATCCAAATGGCAGATTACGCATACAAGTCAGTAATTACCAATGTTCTCTTGGTAGCCTCTATTTTAATTTTTGATAATAATAAGGTCTGAGAGCTCCCCCTGTATTCTCTCCCTCTCTCTTCCTTTCTCTCTCTGTCTCTCTCTTCTCTCTCTCTCTCTCTCTCTCTCTCTCTCTCTCTCTCTCTCTCCCCCACCTTGAGAAGAGATCTCTCCGTTTCCTCAGGCTTGTGCCATCCCCCCGCATGGATCTTATGTGTGCAAATTTCATCTGGCTTATTTCTGTCTTTGCCATCTTTGTTTTGCCATGTCTACTTTCACTGCAATCCTGTTAGAATGTTGGTTTCTTGAGGGAAGCGACCATGTTTTTTGCCTTTTTAAATTTTTTTTTTTTGTATTTCCAATACTAATCACAGTGTCTGGCACAGAATAAGTTTTGTTTTGTTTTTAAAGCTAGTTCCCTGATTGACTGATTGCAGAACTGTAATATCTAGCCTAACTTCTTTATTTTATACATGAGGAAACTGAGGCCCAGAGAGAGTAAATCACCTATCCATGGTCTCACAGCTAGTTAACGTCAGAGTTAGGACTGAAAATCAGGACTCATGGCCACCATTCCAGTGGTCTTTTTATTCGCAAAACTGATGATTTTAATGTTTAGTAAATGATTGAATAACACCATTTTCGTGGTTTAGGGGAAAGTATACTGAACTTGGAATGAGAAGATCTAGGTTCTTCTGCCACTGATGATCTATGTGACCTCAAGCAAGTTGCTCTCTTGGCCTAAATGAGTTAGATTGACTCATGGGATATAGAGCCAGAAGGGACATTATTCTAGGTCTGGAGTTCTCATTTGTTTTGTGTCATTGACCCCTTGAGCTACCCAGTATAGTTTTTGGACTCCTGCCAACTATGTTTAAATGCATAAAATGAAATACAGAGCATTAAAAAAATTCGGTGTTGTACAAATACAAATATGAAATACAGCTATCAAAATATTTTTAAAAATAAAGTTCATGGATTTCAGGTGATAAATCCCAGATCTAGGCTAATCTTCCCACTTTGTAGATGTGGAAAGTGAGGCCTAGATAGATAAAATGACTTTCTTAAGGTGAGCAAGGCTAGTAAGCAACAGAACTGGGATTTGAACTCAGGTTGTCTAACTTTAATCCAATGCTCTTTCCTCCGTCCCACTGGAACATGGTTCAGGTCCATTCAACTTACAACTTTCTCCAACTCTGATCTACTGGGCACCCCATGAGAGCTGGGGTGGGGGAAGTGGTTGTGCCTACAGCAACAAAACTAAAGTTAACACATGAAGGCCAAAATATCACCCGGGATTCAGGATTTTTCTTTCTTTTTTAAAAAATCAATTTAATGAGCTGTAGACAAATTCATATAAATAAAAAAAAATGTTTCCCATGCAGGTGAGCCAAAGTGACTTTTTATTATAATTGGGATGATATTGTTTATACAGTAAATTAAAGTATAAAGGTCATTTTATGTTTGTATTTTTTTTTTCAAAAAGCAGAGTATATAATAAGCAGGCATTTAGAAACCAGCCTCATTCCAATTTATTTTTATAGCATTGTGGAAAATAACCCAAGCTCAAAGTATGGAAAGTCAAGGACTGAGACTTAAATCCCAATGGTAAGAAAGTGGTTCCATAAACAGATGTGATCATGGGTTCTAAGTTTATTTGCTAGTGACAAAAAGAAAGAAACCTACCACTTGCCAACTCAATACATTTTAATTTATAAGCATCTATACCGAAAAGCCTTTGGGCACCTTGAACAAAAATGACTCAAAACAAAATTTACTATTACTAAATGTTATTACTAAACTACTAAACAAATGATTAAAACTAAAGTTTATCTGCCCCATTCTCCCTGCACACTGGGGAATATTTAGTGATTGACTATAGAGAAATGCTTCCTTCCTCCGTGGAACCTCAGGACTCTGACCTAAAATGAGAAAGATACCCAGCTTTGAGCTAGAGTTATCATTTACATCATGGCGGCTTGATTTAATTTCTCTCTCTCTCTCTCTCTCTCTCTCTGTGTCTCACGCTCTCTCTTTCTCTCTGTCTCTGTCTCTCTCTTTCCCTTATTCTTTCTCTCCATAAATATGCTTGTATAATTACATAATTATTTATACAATATATAAAACATGTATATGCAAATATCTACCTCTATATAGATAGCAAGGCACGAACATATAAAAAATTTGCACATATGTACATTTTATATATTATGTAAAATTATGTAGAGACTATGCCTATAATTTCCTTAGTACAAGGAATTCTCAGGTAAGGAATGTCTCTCCACCAATTCAGGTCAGCACATTCTCTGCTACTTACAATCTTAATGAGTTGCCTAGAATACTATGAGTCTTAATGAGTTCCTCAAAGTCACACAGCCAGAATGGGTGGAAAGAGGGATTTGAACCTGGGTATTCTTGGCTTTAAGGCTGGCTCTCTATTCATTAAATTGGGCTTCCTCTAATCAAAAGTATGTGGGAATGCTGTATATTATTAAATAATACATATATGTATATACAAATGCTAGTTGTTGTGACTATATAATTTTTATTCTATTTTTTTCAATTGTGACTATTTTCAATCAATCAATCAATCAGAATGTATTAAGTGTCTATCATGTGCTTGGCAGTATTCTTGGTGGGGAGGATATAAAGACAGAAACATAAATAACTCCTGCTCTCTATAAGCTTATAGTCTATAAGAGGAGACAATATGCATATATACATAAGTATAATATAATATAATTATAATATATTGCATTATATACAATATAATTGTATATAATAATATATTGTATACGATGTATCATTATAAATATAATTTATTATAATTATAATATAAATATTTAATAAACATATTTAAATGTATAATAAACATAAATGTATAAAATACATGAGTTATTTAAATATATAAAAATAAATGCCAGGTAATCTTGGTGAGTACTACACCTATGGCTGATATAAAACAAGATCTGCCTTCCAAAGAATACACCAAGTCTTCAGAAGAATGCCTGCTCCTTACCTCACATCACGTTCTTCCAGGGTCTCACTAGTAAACTCCAGTATGTCAGCCGCAGTCCCCACAAACATGAGAAGAAGTTGAGAGAGCTGGTCCCGTGTGATTCCACCACCAATGGGTAGAAGCCATCTTCCAATTATCAGCATTAACAAGAAGGTCTGGTGGAGTCCCAGAGTCCAAACTTTCTCACACACAGTCGATAAATTATTGACAAAATCTTTGGCCTATTCAATAGAAACACCACATACACAGGAGGGTCACAAACAGCTCCCAGGAGACAGATGCCATCCACCCAAAGTGCCTCTGTTTCACTCTAAAACTGAATTAAAAATTTCTCTTCTCTGGGGTGTGGTCTTTAACTCCAATCCACTCAGTGAAAAGTGATCATTTAAGAGTATAAGGTCATTCTATTTCTCATTTTAGAAGATACTAATGGATACCAGAAGTAAAAAATAAATAAACAAAACCAGTTAAGAACAAAAAGCCCCTTTTCTAAATTACAGCTACAAGTCACTGAAATCTCTCATTTGCTAGTTGGCTTGGTACATCATGGTGCTTGTGAAGCCAATTGCATAATCATACATTCAAATCTCTGCTTAAAGCTCATTCCACATTTCCCATTGTCCCCCAGGACAGGGTGTTCAGACAAAATAAATATACAAACAAAATCCTCCAAAAGCCCAAATTCCAAGTGAGATTTGCTGTGGAAAATTGAATTGTTATTTTTTTTTTGTTGTTTAATAGGTACCAAATCTGAACTTTAAAAACCGGGGAACATTTTCTGCAGTGCACAATTCCCGAAGATCTGGTCTCTCTCTTTTCCTGTTTCTCTGGTGGCAGAGGACAAGCGAGCACCCAGTGAGAGGCTGTGGGTTGTACAGTAAAGCCCACAGCCAAAGGGGACCTTTGAGATCCTCTAGTCCAGGGATTCTTCATCTTTCTGTGTCCTAGACAAACCTATAGAGTCCTCACAGTAATGATTTTAACGCAGAAAAATAAAACACATAAGATTATAAAAGCCAATTACATTGAAATATACTTATTAAAATATGTATCTAAAAAAAGTTCCCAGGACCCAGGCTTAAGCTGCCCTGATCTAGTCCAATGCCTGCATTTTGAAGGTGAGGCTCAGGAGAGTGAAATAACTTACCCTAGGTCACACAGATGGCAAGGGGAAGCTAGGTGGGGCAGTGGATAGCACTAGGTCTGAAGTCAGGAAGACCTGCATTCAAATCTGTTCTAAGATACTTACTAGCTGTGTGACCTTGGACAAATCATTTAACCTCTAATTGCCTGAGTTTGCCCATCTGTAAAATGGGGACAATATTAGCACTTACTTCCCAGGATTGTTGTGACTATCAAGTAAGATAATAATTGTAAAGTGCTTAGCACATCGTAAAAGCTATTTAAATAGTTGTGGTGGTGGTCATGAGCAGGGTCAAGCTTTGATCCTAGGTACTAGAACCCTGTAACTTGTGCTGTATCCACTTATATTAGTGACTCAGTCCCTCCAGTTACTAGATGGAGTTCATCAGCATGTTCCTTCACTTTTCTGAGCCTTGGTTTCCTCATTTGTACAGTTGTAACACTTGCATTTGTGGTTTGGTCATTTTCAGTCATGCTCAGCTCTTCGTGACCCCATTTGGGGTCTTCTTGGCAGAGATGCTGAGGTGGCTTGCCATTTCCTTCTCTGCTCATTTTATAGATGACAAAACTGAGGCAAATGACTTCTCTATAGTCACACAACTAGTAAGTATCTGAGGCCAGATTTGAACTCTGAAAGCTGAGTCTTTGTGACTCCAGGCTCAGCATTCTATCCACTCTATCAGCTCACTGCATTACCTGCCCCAAAGGGGTTTATTGAGTAGGGAGCAACACAGTCAGACCTGTGCTTTAGAAAAATCACTTTAGCAGCTAAGTGAAGGATGGATGGGAGTGGGGAGAGACCTGAACCAGTGAAACCAACCAGAAGGCTACTGTAATAATCCAGGTGTGTAGTGAGGGGCCAGTCTTAGGGTGGTGTCTGCGTGAGCTCAGAGGATGGGATGTATATGAAAAATGTGTAAGGTAGAAACAAGACAATGACAGATTCTATATATGGAGTGAGTCCAAGAAAGGACGAGCCTGAGGTTGAGAGCCTGGGTGCCCTTGGCAGGAACAGGAAAGTTGGTGGGAGTTGCTTGAGAAGAAAGATCATTTGTTCTGCTTTGGACAAATTGAGTTTAAGATACCTAGAGGACCTCCAGGTTCAAGATCTAGCCAGTGTACTGGTGATGGCCTGAGAAGGAAGTGAAGGGTGGGGTGTTTGGAGGTCATGGTGAGGGTGAAGAAGAGTGGTAGGGGTTGTAAGACCTGAAGAAAGATGGGATAATAAGATTATGACCAGATGAAGGAATTTCAGAATTAATGAGTGTGCGAGTGGAGTGAAATACTTGTGGTCCCCTGGTCGCTGTAAGGACAAGAGCTGTGTCTCACCTAAACTTTCTATCTTCCCAAATACCTAGCAACGTGACCTGCATACAGTAGGTGCTCCATATATATTGACATGGTGAGATTCAGAACGAGAGGAATGGATGAAAATTTTTGTTGACTAGTCACATGAAAGCATGAGAATAAAACTATTAGTTAACTCGTTGGTAAATTTCTACTTTATATGTTCTGCCATCATAGAACTCATTTTCCCAATAGAGCAGATTCTCCCTGTTCAGCACAGCGGGTGAACTACAGCACTGACATTACGGAAGGACATGGGCAAGGGTCACCTACAATGGGCAGGCATGGATGGGTCGTGATCTACATCACTGGAGCAAGCATGCACCTATCTAACTAATCAGTTGCAAAATCTTCCCATTTCTAATTTCACATCATCTCTCACGCATGACCCTTTGTCTCTACTCATATACCCTCATCGTCTCTCACTTAGATGACTCTAACAACCCCCATAATTGGTCTTCTTGCCTCAAATCTTTTCCCACTCCAGTCCATCTTATGCATTGCTACCAGGTAATATTCTTTACATGCAACTCTGACCAGGTGAGTCCCATGCTCCCCAACTCCCCCAACTTCTTGCCTCTAGAATCAACTGTTCAGCTTTTAATGCCCTATACCACCTTTTCCTCCTGCTCTCTGTGATCTGCAAATTGTCCTTCTCTATGTTCTTTCTTTTTTTCTTTTTTTTTTTTGTTTTTTTCTATGTTCCTTGTACATGACCTTCATCTCCCATCTTCTCATCAGCACCCACATGCCTGGAATGCACTCCTTCCTTACCTCTGCCTTGGAGAAATGTTCTCTTCTTTTAAGAAGCAGGATGGGCTCCATCTTCTACATGAAGCCTTTTCTCATTTATTAAATGGCTAGTGCTCACCCTCTGACTCCCTCGTATTAAACTGCTTTGTATATTAACTTTATATTTATATTGTATATGTTTCTCCATGTCCTTGTTGGCTCCCTCAATAGAGTATAAGCTCACTGAGAGCAGGAATTACTTCATCCTTTATACTTGTATCTCCATCAGCCGTTACAGTACCTAGCACAAAACTGATGCTTAACAAATAGTTTTTGATTATTTAATTCAATAAGAAATCCATTTGAGTATTGGCATATAAAGATAACCTACCACTTCACACTAGATCTTTTAATAGAAGAAAGAGAAAAATCCCTTACCGTCTCAAGGAGAGTCTCAGTGCCGGTGTTTGCGCTTTTCATCAGCCGAGTTTGATTGAAATCCCCTTTGCTACCAATATTTGGAGACATTCCTTCAGCCTGGTTACTGCAATGCTAAAATATATATGTGTGTGTGTATGTATACTTATATGTGTATATACATATATGATATAATAAAACATGTACATATATAAACTCAAATATTAAGCAAACATCACCCCAACATCTCTCATGTAACTCCTCAACATAGTTCAGGCCCTTGACACCCCTCCCCTAGATTATTGCAATAACCTCCTAATTCATTTGCCTAAGTCAGGTTTTGCACTAGAAGTTTGAATCTGATGGTTCTATGAAATCCTGAGTTTCTCCACAAAGTTCCTGGATTGTAAGGCTACTTTCCTGTTGACCACCATGTTTTCGTCAGTATCCCACCTCAGGCCACTGAATCCAAAAACCAGTATAAGATATTGTTTGTAGACATAAGTACATTAGAGAAAGACAGATTACAAGTTTTAGATGAGAAAAAACCTTTCATGGTCACTGAAGAGGGGCAGGAAAAACATTAGAAAGACAAGAACATTTTGCATAAAATAACTCCATGGAAGCTTTGTGATTTTGGGCAAGTCCCAAACTCTCCAAGAACAGCAGGGAGAGTGTTGGTCTGCACTGTTTGAGGAAGTTTTCTCATTAGAGAATTTTCCAAACTAATAAAATCACAGGCCTAGAAAAACTATAGACACACATGAAGTCCCTGGTGAGAGACTGGCCACTCTCCAAGGACCAGCTGAGCTAAGCAGGGAACGACTCACCACTAGTGGGCCTCAGGGTCCTAAAGTTATAGAATTAGGTATGGATGGGACTTCAGAAGTCATCTATTCCAACTGTCTCATTTTGCAGTATGAGGCCTGCAAAAATTAACTTGATCACCCGAGGTCACACAAGAAGCAAATAGCAGAGCCAGTATTAGAACCTGGGTCCTCTCACACCAAATTCAGGAACCTTCCTTCTGTACCATGCTTGGGTCACAGCAACACACAACACGAATGGCCTTCAAACCATGAATAGAGAGTAACACGTGCAGCCCTTCCAAGTGGTAAGTAAGTCATCTATCAATATTAATTTAAGCACAGGTACTCTAAATGTGTGCTCTGTATTCAACAACTAATGAGCTGTTATGTTATTGAAGGGAATGACCCATAGCAATACTGATCTTCTCTCCATAAGTAAAACCAGAAAACATAAATGAATAAACAGAAAAGTCTAGGGGAAGTAGTGAGAGTGTAGCAAAATCAGGAATAGCAAACAGCCTGGGTCCTCACCCATGGAATCCTGTTTTCCATTGTTCATTGGAAAGAGTAGCAGATTTGGAATCAGTATACCTGAGTCCAGATAGAGCATGACTCTGCTAAAAATGGAAACTGGTCAGGGTGAGACTTAGGGGCATTTGATTATATTAGGGTTAGTAATCCTACCAGGGGTGGGGAACCTGCAGCCTCGAGGCTATATGCGACCTTCTAGGTCCCAGGTGCTGCTTTTTTTTTTTTTGACTAGACAATGGGGGTAAGTGACTTGTCCAGGGTCACACAGCTAGTAAGTGTTATATGTCTGAGGCCGGATTTGAACTCAAGTCCTCCTGAATCCAGGGCCGGTTCTCTATCCACTGTGCCACTTAGCTGCCCCCGAGGTGTGGCCTTTTGACTGAGTCCAAGTTTTACAGAACAAACCCTTTTATGAAAAGAATTTGTTCTATAAAGTTTGGATTCAGTCAAAGGGCCAAACTTGAGGACCTAGAGGGCCACATGTGATCTCAAGGTCACAGGTTCCCCACCCCTGTACCCCAATCCTTATGTGTGACTTCTGAGCTTCATTTTTCGTACAGTCCTTTTTTTAAGTTAGCTTTAGATCAAAGAGACTGTGATTTTTGAGACTGTGATTTTCAATCCTGAGAAGCAGGAGGTCTCCGTGTTGTATGGATTGTCTGTGGCCAGTATATGGAAGATTATGGACAAGAGGAATTGGAGATGAGAATATCTGGATGGCTTTCAATTTGAACCACTGGAGGGAGTATCTACCCTAATGAGATCACAGATGCATGGCAGTGTGGAAGAATCGATCCATTTCCCTGCATGAGAACAGCTCCACAAAATGTAAATCAAACATTGCCCTGCTCCCTTCAAGGCTTAGCTCAAGAGCTCCCTTTTCAGGCCTTTCCTAATTGCTCCAGCGCTCCTTACCTCCTTCCATTCCCTACCCTTCAATCTTCCATTAATAATGTATTTGTATTCTCCTTATATCTACCTTGAGAAGCAGCTGATGGTGTAATGGGGAGAGATCCGACGAGCCCTGGCTACGTGCCCCGGACAACTCAACTAACCTCTCAGTTCTCTAGGCAGATCTCTGAGAACAGAAGTAGCTGAGAAAATGCTGACTAAGATCAATAGTTGGAGTTTCCTTAAGGCAGAGTGCCAGGCATATCCGGAGCCAGTTCATACCAGCCCACAAAGTCCATTGTTAAATTTTCATTATGAGCATTTATTTTTCAGAAATTAACAAGTGCTAATAAATCAGAGCTTGAGTTATTGTTTTGTTGATTTTCTAGACTTGAGAAAGTCACGGAGAGGATGTTAATGAAGCAGATTAGACGTAAAAGTGTGTTCTGCAGATTTTTTTTTTCTCCCCAGAAAGCTGATTGTAAAACAGTTATCAGCACCACTGGGAGTTACCTACGGTTATGCCAATGAAAACACAAGTCCAGATGGCATTTTATATTTCTCTGGCTATATACGCAATTACACTTCCCACCACCCCTGAAACCACTATTAGAAAGTAAACTCCTTGAAGGGAGAAATAGTTTTTCTATTTTCTTACTATCTCTAGAGCCCAGTATAGTGTCTAGAATATCTTGAGTGCTTCATAATGCTTGTTGAATTGAATTGAATGAAATTAAATTCCAATCCAATTGAACTAAATTCCAGCCAATTATTGTGTCTGATCTCACTTGAAATGCCCATTAGAATGTTCGTCAGGTTAAGGCAGCCTTATGGCAAACCGGACAGGTTAAATGTGATGGTCTCATGTCCAATGACATTTCTTATTAAGAAAATTCTTTTTCTTAAAAAATAAAAAGGGGAAGGGTTTTTTTTCATTTAAATACTCAATCCAATGTGTTGTTCATTTTTCTCCTGCCTGAAAAACTTGCAGCCCATCCGTCATTTGGTTGGAGGCCAAAATTTACTCTACCAGAAGTGCAGTGAAATCATATTTGGGTTTCCATTTTCACAGGAATTTGTATTTGTGAGAGAACTTGTTCGTGTGTGTGTGTGTGTGTGTGTGTGTGTGTGTGTGTTTCATCTAGGCAGATGCTCAGGATGGAGGGAGCAGAAAGAAGAGAGAGGAGTGGGCTGGAGATTAAGAGCAGGGGGCCGCCCAAGAGCAGTGTTGCAGCCAATGCAAATTTTACAAGCTGGTGAAAAAAAAGAAAGAAAGAAAGAAGAAGAAACAACAGCTTTTGTGAGTTTGAGGAATTTCAAAATTCCTTTGCAAAGCTAACCTATATGTGACATATACACATCCATGCATGCATTCACACGTTTAGAGATCTTGGAATTTCAGGCAGAATTAAATTGAAAACAACCCTCATCCCAAAGTTGCTCAAAGTACAGACTCCTTAGTTATTTGGCTGTTTTTTATTCCTTTTCCCTACTGAGTTCCTTCTGAGGACCGACAAAGAAAGGCAGTAAAGACCCTAGTTATTTCTTTCCTCCACAGAACCTCGGGTTTTAATAGGTGACATGTCAGGAATAATTAAGAATTATGCATGAGAACCCCCATCCCTCTGAAGGATAGTGCAGCTGTTGCAACCAATTCTGGACGCTAGTCGTAGACTAGGGAATCATGTCCAGAAACACTGACCCTCGGACCCGACCAAGCAGTCTCCCTGCCGGGGGGTTGGCGAACCCCCGCCAAAGTCCTTCACTCACTTCAATTGCTTGATTCCTGGGTCCTGGAATGGGCTAATTTAGAAATGGAAAACTTGGTAAGATTTTTAAATCTGTATCAACGACAAGGCCTAATCATTTCATTTCTCCCCTTTTATTCTATCCCAAATACATAGTTTTGTATTGATAGACTTCGATAGCCAGATGTGGGGCATTAGCATGTTACCCAATCTATCTTCCCTCTCCATTTTTAACAAAATTCATAGAATTCAGTTTCAAACTGATGATAAATCAGGATTTCAATGCACAATATTTTGACCTCTAAAATAGATTTATTCATCACCATCCTAAGATTTTACCTTTCTTATATTATATAGTATGTTTCATTGATTCCTCATCATTTCTGGGAGAAAAACAACTTTCTTCTCCCAATTGGGCCCCCCCCCCTTTAGTACAAAAGCCACAATTAAGCAAAAATACCTGAGAGTGACTGCATCTTACAATGCAACCTCATTCTGCCAGGATAGTATGGGGCTAGGTCCTTATCACTAAGACCTGAGTTCAAATTCTGTCTTAAATACTCACTAGCTATGTGTCTCTAGGCAAGACTTTTAACCTCTCTCAGACTCAGTTACAGACTCATTTGTAAAAATGAGATAATTCTAATAGCACTAGTACTTATAATAGCACTTCCATTAATAGTAGAAGAAAATGAAATAATACACGGAACATATTTTGCAAACTTAAAAGCGTTATGTAAATGCTAGTTATTATTATTTTTCCTCACTTTCCTACTTTTGGCACAAGACTTAGTGATAGAAAATTAGAATTATTTCTGTTAATCAAATTATTATTTGACAAATGTGTGTATATGTATGTATGTGTGTGTGTTTACTTCCTTGAGTCTGGCATCCAGAATAAGGCTGCTTGCTCTTCTGTTTTGTTCTGCCTTCATTCAGTCATATTTGGAATATCATATGCAGTTTGGGAAACAGCATTTTAGGAAGAATGTTGCTAATTCCACGATATCCAGAAGATATATGCTCTTTGGTGGAGAGCTGAAAGGGACCTTGGCATCCTTTTCTAACCCAATCTCCTTATTTTATACATGAGAGAACTGGGGCGTAAGGATGTTAAGAAATCTGCCCAAGGTCACACAGGTACTAAGCTTCAGAGGTGAGATTTGAACCCAGCTTCTCTGACTCCAGAGTCAGTATTCTTTCCACTAAAAGATACAGAGAATTGGAGGGATTATAAATATGTTCTCAGAAAAGGAATGTGATATTCTCCTGGGCTGAGATTTTGAATGGAATGACTTGCTTTCATTGACTGTCATTGAGTTATCAAATGACTACCGTTGAGTTATTACCAATCATTACGACCAGAGTGTCCAAGACAAGTCTATTTCTCCAGGCAATCTGATTAGGTTGTGCCTGAAAGGCTTGACTAGCAAAGGCTGCATTTCTATTTACTATCTTAATTACCTAAAGAAATTACCTGGGTCTCATGATGCAGTTCCAGGAGCCATAAGGATGGCACAATGCTAATCAGATAGAAAAATATGGCGGGCGAAAATCTGTGGAGGCAAAGAAAAGCAGAGTCATTTGGAGCAGAACCTGCTTATAGGAATTGTCCTTTTAGGGGAAATTGTGCTATGTGATTTCTGCCATATGGATTCCAGAGAAACAATGCAAGACACTCGCAGCTGCCATTCTCGCTGAATTTCTAATCAAGCTAAGAAATGTTCACTTTGATATGGTGTCATGGGACACCGCCAACGAGCGAGAGGAACAAGACTTAGGCTTTGATTCGGAAGTGTGTTATGCCACCTAAGCCAAATGACGGCCCTCTGTCCTTGATTTAAAAAAAAAAAAAAAACATCATGCAACACAAAGCTTAGTAATTGATGTCAGTTCCCTTATCTATTCTGTAAAGCTACAAGCCTAAATAGTGCCATGCCTATAGGACTATTCCAATACACACACACACACACACACACACGTATATATGAGTATACATACACCTATAAACAGATATGTATATATATACTTTGCATGTTTATGTATCATTTGTGTATTTCTGCATACATTATATATGTATATATGTGTATATATGCTTATATATTTTATATATCTATAAATGCATGTGTGTATATATATATACACACAGAAAGAGAGGAAAAGAATATCATTGTCTACATGTATTTGCATTTGTCACTAATAATACACATGCAATAATACACATGCACACACACACATGTATGTATGAGTATACATACACCTATAAACAGATATATATATATACATACACTTTGCATGTTTATGTATCATTTGTGTATTTCTGCATACATTATATATGTATATATGTGTATATATGTGTATATATGCTTATATATTTTATATATCTATAAATGCATGTGTGTATATATATATATATACACACAGAAAGAGAGGAAAAGAATATCATTGTGTACATGTATTTGCATTTGTCACTAATAATACACATGCAATAATACACATGCACACACACACACACACACACACACACACTCCTCACACCTGTGTTGGTGTTGGTGTAGAGAGGTTCTTAGTTGCCTAAGATGGCTTGCAAAAGGTCAAAGTCAGAAAGTGTCAGGAAAAGAAATTGACCCCAGGTCTTCATGACTTGTAGGCTGGCCCCGAATCAGCTAAGCTGTGTGAGTACAATGGGTACCACGTGAAATATGTATTAAATACTGACTAGATGCCTGTGGGGATGTGTGTGTATTTATATACTAGACTCAATATTTGTTTAAAACTATTTCCATTCATAGGTTTGAGCTTGAACAATCCCAAAAAGCATGAGTTAAAACCAAAGAAGATGAAGTGACAAAAGAGTATATTGGGAAGTTTCACTGTTTTGAACTTTTGCTTAAATATTTAAGGGATATTTTTATTTCCAGATTCTAAAAAAATCTATAAATCATGTGATGGTTAAATTTAGCATCATAAATGATAATATAGGAAAAAGGGGGGTAAGCCAAATCTTTCAACAGCTGCAAGTTATTTATATTTTTATTTATACAGGTTTGAAAAATGAAAACAAAATAGATAATTGTATACAGGTCTATACAGACATATAAACATATGCCTATATATACATAGGGGGCAGCTAGGTGGCACAATGGATAGAGTACTGGGCGTGGAATCAGGAAGACTCATCCTCTTGAGTACAAATTTGGCCTCAGTTACTTACTAGCTGTGTGGCCCTGGGCAAGTCACTTAACCCTGTTTGCCTCAGTTTCTTTATCTGTAAAATGAGCTAGAGAAGGAAATGGTAAATCACTCCAGTATCTTTGCCAAGAAAACCCCAAATGGGGTCATGAAGAGTTGGACATGACTGAAAATAGCTAAACAACAAAATATATACATATGTGCACATGTATAAATACTATATACACAAATCTGCATATATACACAATCTTCTACAGAAAATGCATACATGTATATTCTGCATATATCTATATACATATCTATAAACATCTATATATATGCATATACACACACATATACACATACATATACCTACACACTTATACACATACACACACATACACACACACATATGTGTGTGTGTGGATCTCTTCTCTTAGAGTATATATATACTCTATATATAGAGAGAGTATATATATAGAGAGAGAGTATAGAGTGTATATTATATATATTCTCTCTCTCTATATATATATTATATATATACATACATATATATATGTGTGTGTGTGTGTATATACACACATATACTCTAAGAGAAGATATCCACACACACACACAGATACATGCTTGTGACCGTGCTCTGTAAGGGCTGTCCCAGATTCAAACTTCTTCCATTAATATAAGTTAGCAACTCAGCTGTAATTTGGGATCTTAAGAGAGTTGCACTGAGAAATTCAGGAGCACACAGCCCTGATCAGCATCAAGGACAGAATTGAACTCAACTTTTTCTAACTCCAAGGCTGTTCTTCTAACCACTAAACCAAACTGCTTTTCATGTATTTAGTGAATTAAGATATTTTGTAATAAATTTTAAATTAAAAAATTATTCACAAAATTAAAAAAAAATAGATACAACTCCACAGAAATATCCTCTGTGTTGGTTTGGAAAGGAAAAAGGTTATTATCTCAGACCATTCTCTTTTCATTGGAGAGGTCAGGGTGGGGGCTGGGGAGCTATGGTAGCACAATAGTGTGTGCACCATCAGATTTGGTGATTAGATAAGTTTTTTTTTTTCTACTTAATTGTTGGTGTTACAGCAGTGGGTGTGGAGAAGGCATACTTAGAAATAACTGCAACGCAAAAACAAAAAGTGTCAATATAGTTTAAAAAAACAAAAATTGAACATGGGCTGAATCCTTCCAAATCCTCTTGCTGGCTTCTGGGAGCTTTAGTTAAATTTGTGTGTGTTTTTAAAATGTAGGATTCCAGAACTCCCCCTACCGACATCTTCTTCCAGTGTTCAAGGGCTGTATTCCCTCTATCTTGCCTTGGACAAATAAACATCATACAGTAACAACTCCAGCATTTAATCTCTTGGAATCACTAACTTGAAATAAAGTATGAGGTTACGATTTGTAATGACTGCTGAAAGCCTCCATGGGACAGGCTGACCTTCGGGGGGGGACATCAAAGCCCCCTGCTTCATAGGCTTCATATAACATGTCAAGAAGAAAAGGAGCTAGTATTATGAGTTCTTTGACCTAGGGTATCAGGGGAAACATAAGGAGAAACTGTTTGCCTTGTGCTAATGGGAAAGGAAGTGAATTTTAAGTGCAAGGGACAGTTGGGATATGAGAGTCTTTGTTTGAAGATTCCAGCTGATGGCTGACCTACAATTCTACAGCCTCTCTTTGGGACAGACAGCAAAATTATGTCACCAAATCTCAGAGCTAGAAGGAACCTCGAACTTCATCCAGCATAGCCAGTCCCTGAGCAAGAATGCACTCTAGAAACTTTCCCAGTAGGGGGCATCCATTTCTGGCTTGAATAGCACAACTATGTATGTGTGCAGGGGTTGGGGTGGAGAGGTTCTCATGACAATCTGTTTTTTTGTTTGTTTGTTTGTTTGTTTTTTGGTGGGGGCAACTGGGGTTAAGTGACTTGCCTAGAGTCACACAGCTAGTGAGTGTTATGTATCTGAGGCTGGATTTGAACTCAGGTCCTCCTGACTCCAGGGCCAGTGCTCTATCCACTGCGCCACCTAGCTGCTTTTGATTTGAGGCAGCTCCAATGGTGTGTAAGCCTTTATGTACCTTCTACCCATAGCTTCTACTTCTTCCCTCTAGGGCCAAGCAGGAGAAAAAAAAGGTGATCCCACTTCCAAGTGGGATCATAGTGGGCACACAATAAATGCTTCCTTCCTTTGGATTTCTCTTTTTGTTGTGGTTGTTGTTCAGTCATTTCAGTTGTGTTGAACTCTTTGTGACTCCATTTGGGGGTTTCTTGGCAAAGATTTTGGAGTGGTTTACCATTTCCTTCTCTTTTGACAGATGAGGAAACTGAGTCAAATAAGGTTAAGACACTTGCCCAGGCTCATATAGCTAGTAAGTGTCTGAGACCAAATTTGAATTCAAAAATGTGAAGATAGCTATGTTGTCCTTGCACAGTATTTTTCCTTTCTAGGTGAAATATCCACAGTTCTTTGAAGTGTTTTTTGTGTAGTGTGATCTCCAGGCTCTTCACCATTCTTTCTGCCCTCCTCTAGACCCCCTCAAGCTTTTCAATGCCCTACCTAAAGCATGGTACCCAGTAGAGTGCACAGTCCTCCAATCGGTTCTGAGGAGGGCACGGCAGAATGAGACTGCCACCTGAGAAGTCCTGAGGACCACACCTCACTTACTGCAGCCTAATATCACACCAGGTAGCTAGGTGGTACCACAGTGGATGAAGTGCTGGGCTGACAGTCAGATGACCTGCATTCAAATACTACCTCAGACACTTCCTAGCTGTGTGACACTGAGCTAGTCACTTAACCTCTGTCTGCTTCAGTTTTCTCATCTGTGAAATGGGAATAATAACACCTACATCTCAGGGTTGGTGCGAGGATCAGATGAGATATTTATTTTTAAAAAATGCCTAGTACAGTGCAAATGCTTGTTTCCTTCCTTTGATTTCCCTTTTTGTTACCGTTGTTCAGTCATTTCAGATGTGTCTAAATCCTCGTGACCCCATTTGGGGTTTTCTTGCAAAAACACTGGAGTGGTTTGCCATTTCCTTCTCCAGCTCATTTTACAGATGAGGAAATGGAGGCAAACAGGGTTAAATGACTTGTCCAGGGACACATAACTAGTAAGTGTCTGAGGTCAAATTTGAACTCAAGACGCTAGGTCTTCCTGACTCCAAGGCCCACAGTATGCACTATGGCGCCCCCCGGCTCCCCGTCTTCCCTTTTACTCCTGCCCTATATTTCTGACTTACATTTTCTGAAATCAAATCGAACTCACTGATCTTTTAAAAATTCAGATGAACAGCTGCCTAGCCATGTGTTTCCCCATCATTTACATGTGACTTTTTTTAAACACTATAAGCCAGGGGTCCTGTTGA